ATTGTTTTCCTCTAGACTTCTATTTTCTAGATATTTGTATTTATAGCTGATATGTCTGATGCAGTATCCAACCTTCCCTTAAGAGCAAACAGCTGCTCTTTGGACACAGGTGACCTTCTGATTGGTCCAGGGGCAATTCTCTGACCCAACCATATCTCATCCTTGGGTTGGTTGGAGAACCTTGAGATGGCTTCATCTTTGAAAGGTGATGAGAGAAGGAAAAAAGAAGAGAGAGAGAGAGAGAGAAGAGAGAGAGAGACAGAGAGAGAGAGAGAGAGAGAGAGAGAGAGAGAGGGAGAGAGAAATTAGGAGAGATAGTTGGTCCCTAAAGCTGCCTCCATTCTCATTTTTAATTGTTTCCTAATGCCAATCAAAGAAAATATGCACCTTATAATCAACCTCCCTTTCTAAAGATGGCTGATGTGTTTCTTGCAAACAGCTACAAAAACACAACAATACCAGAAAAACAAATCTATCATAATTAAGAGAAAAGTTAAATTGCATTTTGAAATAAATCTGTAGCAGGATAATATGTTTTTATGCTTTGTCAATTATAAAAAGATAACTAGACACACTTTTATATTCTTGGCGTTCTGTCGAGCAAAGTGTCATTTTCTCAGAGAGTTAAAGTTACTTGCTATGTGTGCTTCTCTGTTTTTATAATTCTGAGCAAATGACAATGTTGCTTTCCTTGAAACCTGGATAAGATTTTCCTCGTACATGTAAGTCTTCATCTTAGAGAAGTTCACTCCATATTCCACCTTCAATGCAGTTTTCCTTATTTATTAGTCCTTATTGGTCAACATACCTTTCTGAGAATACACTTTTAGGAATGTTACTGGTCCTCAGTCCACTGTGTTTTGGAAACTCCGAGAATCCACCTGTCCTGCAAGCAGGGAATAATATATTAGAAGAGATTATTGAGTGGATGGATGGGTGGATGGATGGATGGATGGACAGATGGAAGAGACTGCAATATTAATCAAATGTGTTTTTAATGTCTAGGATATGCTTAGCACTGGGCCAGTCTCTGAGAAGCCATGTCAGTAAGAATCATGAATTCCATCTTTGAGAAGCTTAAAAGAATGTTATGTTGGACTGCAAGTCATTGTTAAGATCCTCCCTAAGAGCAATCTATCTTTATGAGTGGTTCATGCCCCGAAGGCAGGTTGGATCACTCTAAGATATGTGAAGCTCTGGAAAAATTTATCTATATAAATATAGATAACACCTGGAGTCCCCCAAATTAGTGTGTCAGCCCCATTCTGGAGGCCCGATCTCATGTGCTCCCACCAAAGAAATTCCACACCAGCCAGTGGGAGTGATCCACTTGCCATTTCAGCCTCTTGAGGCCCTGGGATGGCCCCATGGGTGACAAGTCTCAGAGCTTCTCACAGCCCCTGGTTGAACCTACAAACGGGATAGCAGGTTGACTGAGATCCATGTGGGTTTCTATCTGGGCAGGGAAAGTCTTGCCTGGAGCATTGTGGGCTCCACCTGTTCATAGGCAGTAGAAGGGGACTGGAAAATGTTGAGGGAGACGCTTCCAAGCACAGACCTCCATAAGACATGGGGCTTGAGGCAGGAACCCTTGTTTGCCAAGACTAATGGTGGTTCTAAAAGTAGGCATTTCTTTTTTTCCAAATGCCCTTCCCCTGGACTCACTGTTATTCATTTTGTCACAAATGCCCACGGTGTCCAAGGCACTAAACATAATAAGTAATCATCTTGGTAATGGAAAATTCCACCTCCTTACCTAGAGTCTGACAAGCCATCACTGAATTTCCAAACAGCTTACCATCAATGACAGAAGTCTAAATACATACATACTTATAGTTACCTTCCAAGGCTCCAAGCGCATTAAGGGAGAGAAATATGAACTCTTGCCCCTATATTCATACTTTAATATTTTCTTCTGTTGCCTGATCATCTGGTTTGTGTGGGTCATGAAGCTGATGAGCCGGATGGCTTTCTCCTTCTAAATGAAGAGCCGTCAACCAAATTAGAAGCACTGAAGTAAAAGCCAAGTAGTAAAGGCCACAGGCAGGAGTTAGAGCTGTTTGGACATGGAGGACAGAAGTGGGACGTGGGGAAAAGTGTGGACTCTTGTGCACCCGTGTCCCAGACACAAAGAGAAACCACCAACAAATGCCGAAAGGGTCCTTTTCCTGAAATACCCGGGGACATGGGGTAACTCAAGCAGTGTAGCTATAGGGCACAGGAGATGAAATGGAGTATGTATTCCATTGAAGGGCCATTCTCCTCCTTTGCCGGGGAGCAAAGCAGAACTTTTTTACAGGGAGGATCCATGAGCGGAAGTTCCATCTTGTGACTTAGCCACTTTGCAGGCACCGGCAGATGTACCCTCTGCACAGGTATCAGTGTCCTCGGAGTAAACACTGGCAGAGACGACAGTTCCAAGGAATTTGCAAGACATTTTGAGGACATCAGCTATTCCTAAGTGGGCTCCAGAGCAGAAAAACACAGCAGGTGCAGCATGGTTACTGTGGCTGACAGACATCAGCTTTTAATTATGCACAAGTTAATATAGTGTTTAATACCGATCAAAAGTCTTCCTCCACTTCCCAGGAAAACGTTTCTTAGAAAAGTGAAAAGAACTTGTTGTGCCTCTTTGAACAGATCGCTCGATCCTTTGGAGACTCATTTTCCTTATCACAGAGATAGTATGAGGACTAAATACACCCTGAAAGGCTGCTATGTCTTTTGTGTTACTAGTTACGTGTTCATTCTTTTCTGAGGGTCAACAGTTATCACTGTGTTCTTTGGGTACATGTGAGGGTACAGTATCCTAGTTTTTAAAAAATGTGGGCTTCTTTTCTGGATCTTTCTTCTGGTTGCCAGTTACGGTGGTGAGTAATTATGTGCAAATGCACGCTCTCCACTGAAAGTTGTAAAAGGCAGAAAACTCATTTCTTCAGCGCCCTTGAAAAGCTACAAGACACTAGTGCATGTCTGTGTGCCAGCAGTTTAGAAATGAAAATCTCCACATTCCTTGTGCCTGGTCTCATTAATTCTCCCCACCCCATTGGTGTTAAGGTTTTATAAATAAGCAAGACAGGATTGATTTGTTCCATTTCAGCAAACTGTAAAAGAAAACAGTCAAGAAATCACTCCCATCATCATCCCCCACTGCCTCCCCAGTGTGTTACTCTCTACAACTGGGCAAAAGCCTTTCCCAATTAGGTGAAAGATGATTTCATTTCAGTAATCTTTAGAGAAGTTATTTCTGGTTTGTGCAAACATGCCAAAATAATGCAGCAGGCCTCATAAAGAGTCCACCTTGATTTCTCTCTGGCTGTGGGAAAACTCAAGATGCAGGAAGACCTGATTACCATATTATGAGGATTTATGGTGTTTAGCTGCACCTATGTGGATGTAGCCTAGAGGAATAGAAGAAACATGGAGGGAAGAATCAGAACACCTCGGGGTGTTGCGGGGGGCGGGGGGGGGGGAGGCGCTTAAAGGTGTCTGGTTCTGGGTTTACAAACGTTTTTAGTAACATCCTGGAAATTCCAGGCAAAGGTTGCCTTTTGGCTACGGATAGGGAGAGGGGCAAGAATCTTCAGCCAGAGCAGATCTACTTTTGCAGATTTCACAGTTGAGGCTTCCATAGATGATCAGTTTCACCCACCAATATAATCTAAAAACCTGTTGTTACATTGGTGGTTTGAATTCTCCCTCTGACTTCTCAGCCGATTCGTTCTATCACCTCAACAGTTCCAGTGACGGGGGCCCCAAAGCACCGATCTTTGGACAGATGTTCCCTAAATTCCCTTTTAGCTCTATTAATCCATACCAATGTATGAATATAAACAGGAAATGCAATGGTGTGGACATAAATTGAAGCCTTTTGTCTAACATGACTCATCAACTCTACATAGCTACTCTTCTTCCTATAGCTACTGAGGGCAAAAACATTTTCAAATTTATTTTGTTTTAACATATTTTTTAAAACATGTGAAACTACACCCCCCCCTCCCCATCCTGCCTTTTGACACAGGGTGTTGCTTTTTCTCTTCAAGAGGGAAAACATTCACATCAGGATTGATTTAAATTTTTCCCCCTTTTAAATCATAAACAGTCCTGGTACAAGAAACAGTAGCTGTTATTGATTAAAAGTTCATTTGCCTTGCCTGGGCTGATGATTGATACTTGGAGGGGTGGAGGGGTGTTGGATTTTTGGCTGGGAGATTGGAAGTGGGGCAATTTTGTCACATTACCTGTTCTTTATACGAGTGTTAGTGTTGGAGGAAATTTAGGTCTGGGGAAAGAGCTTTTTTTTTCTCCCAAAAAGTTGGTCCAACTTTTTGTTTTATTTTGTTTCTTGCTATGCTGTGTTCATCAGCTTTAAGTAGCGGTAGTGCATACGAGCTTGCGAGAGCCTCTCTAAATGGGCTTTTAATGGTCTGTTGAATAAAGCAGCTACCAGTTCAGGAAATGCATGCATTTTATAGGTGCAGATTTTCAAAGCTTCTATTTGTGAGTGCCAGTTGAGAGGTGCCTTTGTATATGTTCTTCACAGACCCAGTACAGCAATAAAGACCACTTCTGGAAGCATTAAAAAACAAGGAATAAATTTTCTTGTCCCACTTATACTTCTAATGTCAAGAATAATAATTTTTGTGGTTAAAGAAAAAAAAAGTATCTTTCCTTTAGGAAAGTTATTTGAGCTCATCAGAAAATCATAATTTTATAGGAGCGTGGCAATTGAATTCATTGAATGCATTTGCCTGTGATATTTGTAATCAAGGCATAGGGTTTTCAAGAAAGTAAGAAGTGATTAGCAGTTATAACAGAATTCTTAGTGTTTAGTTTTCTAATTTGTATGTGTTATTAACATTATCTCTCTTTTAGTTTTTAACTGAAGCCAACATACACCATATCCTTGAACTTGTCAGTTAGTAGAACATCTGGAAGTAATAGTGATCTTTGCACAACACCATTTAATATTGACGTATTAAATTTAAAATAACAGAATATATAATATGATACCAGGTTTTATTAGATAGCAATAAAGGCAACAAGTAGCTGTAACCAAACATTTTTTTTTAATGTGGTGGGAAACCTTAGAATTGAAAGATACTCCATTAAATTTATTTTTCTGAAAAATTGGAAAGACTGTTATTTTTCATATTTAATGGCACAGCACCTTGGCTGAAACTGAAAAAATGGTATTTTGTGGAAGCATAGTTTGAGAACCAGTATCATAAATAGAGATGCATGGAAATTCTGAGGTTTCTAGAGATCTTATATATCACAAGTTGGACTTTTTCAAAGTTGATTTAAAATCCTCAGGACCGTCTAAGTCTGAAACCAAAGGGAAAAAAGCAAATTAAGAAAATGCTGATAAATTTGACTACTGCAAAATGTAGTCCTTTTAGTCTGCTACGTAAAACTAAAATTAAGAATATTTAAAAGGCAAAAAAGAGAAACTGGAAAACATATTTGCAGCATATATTATAATGTATTACAAAACTGAAAATCATGCGAGTTTGTATAATTCCGCAAGTGACCAACTAATACTCGGGAAGGTAGAAAACAGTGGTCAGAAAATACTAAACAATTTACAAAATAAGAAATACATAAAACAATATGCATAGCAAAAATGACCCAACGTTATTATTATCTTTTGACGCTTATTTATTTATATTTGAGAGAGAGAGAGGAAAAGCAGGAGAGGGGCAGAGAGAGAGGGGATGCAAAATCCAAAGCAGGATCCAGGTTCTGTGCTGTCTGCGCAGAGCCCAATGCAGGGCTTGAACCCAGGAACTGGGTGATCACAACCTTAGCCGAAGTCAGACGCTTAACTCACTGAGCCACCGAGGCACCTCCAAATTACTCAGTTACTGCTAATCAGAGGAATCCATATTAAAACAATGAAATAACATTTATTTCTATCAATCAGTGGATTTAGAAAAATGGATGCAGTCAGACCCTGCTATGTATGTTAGTATAATTTTTCGAAAAATAATGCAGTAACATCTATCAAAAGCTTTAAATTTTTTTTATACTTTTAATATAATCAACATTTCCACTTCCAAACATGGGTTACCATCTCCCAGTTTTTCCTTTACGTTAAGGCTTTTGTAGGACAGTCTGTGTATCATTATTTAAAATTGGAAAGATGGAAATAATCTCATTGCTTAATTCTAAAGGACAGGTTAAGTAAATCACGGGATAACATACTATCATACTATCATAACTAACATATCATACTATCAGGCCTTTAATTATTGTGTTATAAATGTTTCCTTATTGATATTAGTAGGTATTCATCATTTTAATGGGAAAAAAGCAAGTATCAAAGATACAGTATGCCATGATTTTATTTCTGTTAGATTATATGTGCGCAGGAAATGGCTGGAAGTTCATATATCACAGTGTCTATTTGTCATTCTATCTGGGTGGGTGGAATTATGTGTGTTTATTCTGTTTGTGTTTTAGTCTATGCAATTTTTTTTCTATAATGATGATGTGTGTCAGATTGAGGGAGAAAAAAAAATGTATTTTCCATCCTGCAGAAGCTATCTAAGGAGACCAAATGACATATCTAGCTTAAGACATGTTATTACCTCCAACAATCGTCTTTCTTTCTCTAAAAATAATCTCTCTTATGGATTCTTCCTCTTTAGAACACTTTTCACCCGTTTTATTCATGGGTCATCTCAGCTGGTGACGACTTTCATATTTCTCCAAGGGAACGTATAGTTTGTTTCTATGCAATAAACTCTTCCAATCACCAGTAATGAAATCAAATCACTCTAAATTAGGGTCTTTGGGAGGGAAAGGCCAAGTCAATGAATAGCTTTGTATGATTTGAATGAATCCCTGAAGAAATAAATCAGACTCTTGGCTTTTATCTTAGTCCCAGCCTTTGGAACAAGAATGTTAACTCAGCCAGCTTAATGCTTAGGAAAACAAAACAAAAACAAAACAAAACAAAACAAAACAAAAAAAAAAAAAGAAAAGAAAATGTTTAGGAAAACCAAAAAAGAAAACAAAACAAAACTTAAAAGTCTCAGTGTCCATAAAAGGATAAAGATACTCATTTGATCCCATTTTTTGAGCATCTACCCAAAAGAGCTTAGTATGGACTAAATATGTTTAAAATGAACATCAGGAACAAACTTAGAAGGGAAAAAAGGAGAAATAATGTCTGGATTTTAGAATTGAGAGACCCGAAGGGGTGAAATGCCAGGGGTTCACAGCTCAGCCCTGCATCTTACAAACTGTGAGAATATAAAGAATCCACTTAATCCTTCTGCAGGGAGGTAATACCAAAGTAAGGATGTTATGATTGTTAAGTGAAATGAAATACATCGTGCAGTAAACAATTAGTAAATATCAGTTTCCTTCATTCCCAGGAGAAGAGAAGAGGGCAGAGGAGGAGAAAGCAGGAAATCTCCCTCACCTCCAACCCTCATCTCCAGAATTTCAGGCACAGCCCTAGCAGTCTGGTGGGGGAAATAGATATGTGTATATATATATATATATATATATATATGTGTGTGTGTGTGTGTGTGTGTGTGTGTGTGTATGTTTGGAGGGAGGAATGGTGGGAACGAGGGGATATTTGAAGACAATTTAAACATCCATCTGAGGGGCGCCTGGGTGGCGCAGTTGGTTAAGCGTCCGACTTCAGCCAGGTCACGATCTCGCGGTCCGTGAGTTCGAGCCCCGCGTCAGGCTCTGGGCTGATGGCTCGGAGCCTGGAGCCTGTTTCCGATTCTGTGTCTCCCTCTCTCTCTGCCCCTCCCCCGTTCATGCTCTGTCTCTCTCTCTGTCCCCAAAATAAATAAACGTTGAAAAAAAAAATTTAAAAAAAAACATCCATCTGAGAATCGGAACAGCAGCAACAACAACAAAATCGATAGTCGTAAAAAACAGTAACAACTGAGATAAGACAGTGTCCCAGCCAGTGGTGGGCCCGGAACACACAGATCACTATTTTTGAGACTCATCAGGTTCTGTCCCTGCCCTGCCTCCTCCTGGATCATGCCGAGGCATCTCAGGTGTGCTGCTTAGTGCTTACCCTGGTTTTGCTATTTGCCATTTGTCAGTTGCTACTTGCCAAATGAGAAAACAATTGTTTTCCTCTCTTTACCCAGAACAATGCTATACAAACACAGAACGTGATCTTTAAAAATGCTTTGAGCTTTAGAGAAGGTAACACTTACACCCAAAATATTATCGGTGTTGCTGTTGTCGTGTGCAGCATGGTTGAAGGTGTTCAACCTTGGAACTTGGTATTCATCTTGGAACTCTGAAGCTGGAGAAAATTCCACCTCGCTTCCAGCCTAAGCGGGAAATAGTCTGGAGGAGAGGTGAAATTTTAGGAGCTCTTGAACCATGGTGAATGTGGAGGAAATTTGATTAAAAAAATAGTTTACGAAGGGCACGGTGGGGGCTGGTGATCGGGAAAATCGGAATGGACATGTGGTATGTACCTCGCACTGAGTGTGGTTTGAGAGAGTTGGTGTGAATCAGGAATATCATGAATGTGAAATACATCCACCACAAGGTCTGCTATTGTGGGTTTGAGTTTGGAATCCTGAAGTGTTTCTTTAGGATCAAAGCTTTGGCAGAGGGAGGTGGGCATGGGGACAGGTTCCAGTCTGGCCAGAAGCAAAAGCTCCACATTTTCCTCAGGAGACATGTAGTCTGAGAAAATACATTTGGTTGCTCTGAGTGTACGTGTTCACATTTATTTTGGAGTCCTTTTTGAAATTTCTGAAGTGAAAATGCCTGTACTCTGAAACAGGGCAATCATGACAGCTGTTAATTCTCTGACTCTCTGTCTCTGTCTCACACACACACACACACACACACACACACACACACACACACACTAACCAGTATTTACTCTTTGATGTTTTATTAGTGCCACTACTTTTGGGGGCACACAGTGAATTGGAAAGAGTCCTCCTGAGGTCCATTTGAAGCTCTCTGCCCAAACTCTCTGGAGGAAAGGAAGAGCCATGCCCCAGTGAATCTCAGCACATTTTTTTCTACCATAAGTCAGGTTAGTTTTATTTGAGGTCAAAACGGCAATTGAAGTAGGAAATATGCTCCTGGTATTTGGAGAAGGAGAAGGGTATCTGGGCAGACCCAGGCCGCTCTGGCCCAGGTGTCTTACTGTGTCCCAGGGCAGAGGTAGCACTGCCACTCCACTGCGTCACATGAAGAACACCCAATTGGGAAGGACAGCCCTGAGCGTTTGGGCCAGATGTTCACAGCATCTTGCACCTTCCCAGGAAATTGATTTTGGGATAAAGGCGAAGCAGATGACTGGCAAAGGCTCCCGTGATGGAAATTGAAAATGTCAGGGAACAAAAGACATAGGAAATAAGAGTTCCCTTTGGATGCAGCTCTCTTAGCAACATCCTGTTCCCAGCCATGAGCCCACCACTCGGCCGGAGGGAATGAAATCCAAAATGGAATTTGGCCCCATTTCCTCTGACCTCTTGAGGTAGCAGTGGAGAAGGATGGCTCCCCATTCCCCATCTCCCAGTCTCCCTTTTCTCCCTCCAAATGGATGACTTTAGGGGGAGCAAAGTCTCTCCTCGCCCACCAAGTGGCATAGAAGCCAATTCTTAGAGTAAGGTATTAGATGTTATTTATATCTGTAGCTCTACTCCCTAGCAATAAGTACTCAATAAATGTTTGTTCATTTTGTGTGTGTGTGTGTGTGTGTGTGTTTGGTGACGGTGGGGGGTGGGGGCGCGGTGATGGTTAAGATTTCTGGAGCACCTCCCCTGGGTCAGGGTGCCAGGCCCAGGGACATAGTTTTATGTGAGCTATCTCACTCACCTCTTCTACCGGTTCAACGAAGTAGGTCATCAGAACTTCTCAGAAAATGGAGGCACGTGGAAATTAATGTCATATTTGAGCTGTGAGGGGTTGGTGTTTGAATCGCGAACTGTCCACTCCAAAGAATGATCTCCTTCCATACTGTGGTGATGATTATATCCTCTCAGGCAATGCGTAGGCAGCACCATACTTGCAAGGTGTGAAGTTGGACAACATCCGCTATCGTATCAGTGTAGAAAAAGGTTCTCCAAACTCCAATTGTTCCCACATGTTGGCTGATAGACCAAATCGCTTCTAAGTTCTTTTCTGAAGGAATCCCTTGGACTCAAAATCAGGGCAGAGTCATGTTAAAGATTACTGAAATGGAGTCTTTGAATGTACTTCTAGCATTTCCCCTCACTGGATGTGATACTACGTGAATCGGGTTGCCCTTCAGAGCTTCAGTTTGCTCAGCAAACAGGAATATGTCCCATCACCCATACTCTCACCATGGAGAATGGTCTTAACTCAAGGATTAAATTAGATAGGCTTCGTGAGAGAATTTGAAATCCGCCAGATCGTTAAGGTCAGAGACACTGTCTTTTATCTTTGTAAACCCCAAAACACCTGGGAAAGTGCTCGACAGGTTTGTGAAATGGTTTGTCAACTGGTATAGCTTTACATTCAAATACAAGACTTCCATGTTTCTGGTTCAATTTAGATAGTTGTCACGGCAATCAGCGGTCTCTTCCTTTCCAGTGGCCTAGGGGAGGTGGCGGTAACTTAGAGGGCACTGGTTGTCTGGTGAACCTAAGGAGAGGGTTTGAGATAGTTAGAGTCGAGCCATCTGAAGGTGCACGGCTTCAGCAAAAAACCTAGAACCTAAGACTAACATGGGTAGCAGGCTGCCCACCTTCAAGGACACATATGTACTTGAACAACAAACATATCAATGATGACCAATGTTGACCGATCACAACCAGATCCTCCGAATGTTACAGAAAGAAGAGTTCTTGAATGATACCAGAGAAGTGGGAGATTTCCTCTGCGGTTATCAACATGGCAAAGACCTGGATTTTGATTTTCTACCATCCTGACTGGAACATATTAAATTAGATTTAAAGAAACAAATGTGTGTGACACTTAATTGCCATGGCATTAAGAATTAAAGTTCATACTTGTTAGAAAGGCCATAACATAACTTTTGACCTAAGAGTTGGTTATGTAGCCCATATAAAATTTGTGTAAGTGACTTACCACCACATGAAGACGCTTCCTAATTAATAAATGTGGCTGTACGAAGCCTTTTGGGAAGCTCTGGTAGAAAACACTCCCATAGATCATTCAGAAGCTTCTTAATTTTTTTTTATGTTTATTTATTTTTGAGAGAGAGAGAGAGCATGTGTGTGGGAGGGGCAGAGAGAGAGAGAGGAGACAAGAGTCCGAAGCAGGCTCCAGGCTCTGAGCTGTCAGCACAGAGCCCTATGTGGGGATCGAACCCGCGACCGCAAGATCATGACATGAGCCGAAGTCGGACACTCAACCGACTGAGCCACCCAGGCACCCCCAGAAGCTCCTTTAAATCCTGTTTATATTCATGTTATTGTTTAGGCTTTATGCATGTAAATTGACCTGAGCCACACAACAACCGCACAAGGTAGATGATAATATTACCATTTTACAGATCATGGAAGACGAGCGACAAAGACAATAATCCAATAATCAACCTTCTATATTTAACAGTGGTCCAGAAAAGCTGTGTGTGTTCCCACGGACTAACAGTTATTGATTCTGAATGCACAGCTCATGTGACAGGTGTCTTGGCAAACAGGAAATGGATGACAGAGCCTTCTAATAACTGTGTAATTTTAAGAGGCAGATCAAGAAGACATGAGTATTGGATGGGGAGCAGATGGCTTTCATATTTCTTTACTATGTAGTACACAGTGAAGAGAATGCAGAGTCCACTTGGGTGATGGAAAACCAAAGTTTCCTGGCATGTCTAACACTTACGACTCTCCCCTTCTGCTTAGGGAAAACACAAAACACATCACAAGCACTAATTGAACAAGCACTCTTGAGGTCTGATCATCAAATTATCTTCAAGAGGTTGGAGAGAGAGAGAGAGAGAGAGTGAGAGAGAGAGAGCATAAAAAAAGAAAGAAAAAAAGTATTAGAACAAAGACCAACAGCAATATTTTGTTCTTTGTTCCCATAGTCTCATCATAGCTGAATCAAGTTGCATGCATATATTAACTCTGAAAGATGTGAAGGATAACCTTCTTGATTCTGACAGCTGGTGTTGCACAGCAACTGGGGTCATGGATTACACAGCCTTACTGGATATATTGTCAAAATGTTTTGGTTAAGGAGAATAAAAAATCAACAGCTCTCCCTTCAAGCCTTGTCTACCCTAAAATACTTTGCAACAAAATTAAGTAATACATCCATCAAATCATGTGATTTTTCAGTCAGCTTCTCCTGTCCATTCTGCACACTTTTCTTCTGCCCTTGATTGTTGCCACAGCATCAGAACCACCCACCCTTCCAGCTTCATTTACAGCAGCCTCCACTGGGCCTAGGTATTTTGATTACAACCACAGATTGACTGACCTCCCATCCTCCCATTTTCCTTCCAGGGACACTTGTGGTTTAAGCTAAATACCATGCCGCTCTAACCACTTAAAACAGAGCCACTGATTAAGACACAGCTATAACAATTGGATGCAAAGCTCCTGTTCTGAGAGTGACCAACATCCTGTGCCCTGACAAACAGCCAGTCCAAACACACTGGAGGCTAAATGGAGCTTTGGTGGAAGAGTGGTTAATTGTGTGTTGGTTCCCATGGACAGAGTCCATGTTTCCATGTGTCATTTCCAGACTATCCAAGAGGAATTATAGGAGAGGCCAGATGAAAGGCTTGGTATGAGTGATAAATAGGGGTGAGAAAAGTGGAGACTAGTTGGGTTATATGAACTCCTGAGAAGGTTATTCGTGGACATTGAAGCTGGGCATTGTGCCCTACATGGCTTGGATGTAAGCTGTCCTTGCTTGGATGCCTGAAGTCCTATCTTCATAGGTTCAATGTTAGGTTCCAATTCCTCATCACAAAGCTTTATTTGATCTATTTTGGTTTCTATTTGACTACAGATGTTTATTGAGCACCTTCTATGTGCCGGGTACTAAATGCCAGAAATAAGAAACGAACAAGACAGATAAGGTCTCTGCCTGGTTTGCATCCCATTGGTGGAAACAGAAAATGGACAAGTAAACAAGGTTACTTGGGATCATGGTAAGTGCTATGAGGAAAAATAAAGGAATTAGACAGGGAGAGATGCAAAAGAGTAACTGGGATACTAGAAATCCCCTTTAAATTAGGTGTTCAAGAAATGCCTTCCATAGTGGAAAGTGCAGGAAATCGTGAGAAGAGACGGAGCCAGTGACAGGAAGATCTGGGGGCGGGAGATCACAGAAAGCATTCGGAGGGAGGGGGGAGAACTACACGAGACAGTCGTAAGGTAGGAACTTAGGGTTTGTGTGTCCTAAAGGAAGCCATGTGACTGAAGCATCCTGAAGAGAGAAGAGAGAAGACCAGAGGAGGTTGGGGAGGCCAAGAGAAGCTACATCATGAAGGACTATAGGCCATGGGAAAGAGTTAAGATTTTACTCCAAACACATTTTGCTTTCTTCACTTCAACTCAGTGGTCCATTCTCCTAAGTTTGCATTGACGGTTTGATCGCTACATTAGGGATATCCAATCCTAATCTTTGGCCAATACCAAATTGAATTATAAGTATATAGCATTGAACTGTAAGTATGTAGATTGGAAACCATTCACTAATGGCTCTTTCCATTAAGCTTTTTATGGCAAGGATCTGTTCTCTCATTTGGCATGTCCCACTCAATAGCTTCTCATTGTTTACCATTCTGCTTTGGCAGAAAATAGACATTAATTCGAGAGAATGGCTTTTGGAGATAGATTTTACTTTTGTCAGTTATCGATGATGGAAAAACTATAAAGGATGTCTTTCTGAAAAGGGGCAGGTGATACCTCTCTTAGCCTGTTGTTAGATCTAAACGAACAGTTTTATGTGAGAGAAAAAAATTGAGATTCCAACTCAGACTTTCTAAGTTTTAAGTCTAAGTTTACTAAGAAACTGTGTGTTAAGTAAGGCTATGCACCTGCAGTGAAATACTGAGTAAAATCAAAGACTCAAGCCTGGAACTAGTTTTCCCAAAAATGTACACTGAACAGTTTCCGCTACATGATTTTACAGGAGTATCCATAATCTGCCATTTCCCAGGCATCTGGGCTCATGAATATTCAGACAGGTAGAGTGCTGAATACTTTATTGAATGATGACATCTGGCACTCCTGGATTAAGTGATGCTTCTAGTCCTAGGAGAAATAACGTAGGTTACTACTAAGCATACTCGTTTTTATATAGAGTTCACTTATTAATGAAAAAATACATTCTCTATCAGTTCAATGAATTTTTTCTAGGCAATAACCTTGTACAGGATGTGCTAAGGTCTAGAGAAATACGAAGTTCCATATTTACAACCTTGTACCTGGTATTCACTAGTTTTGTTTTGTTTTTTTTTTTAGGAAGTTTTGTTTTTAAGCCCCAGGTACTATTCAAGATACTGAGTCTACTTGTGTCTCTGAGAAATTTTATGACCTTGTTTGATAAGCTGCAATAAACCTACTTTAATAAAAATCTGAAACTCTAGGATCTAAGTGTTAAATTGGCCCCAAGGAAATTTCTGGAAATGTATGGGGCCATGGTAAACTGTAGACCCCAGCTCAAGACTGTTTGACCAAGGACCCTTGGGGATTATTAATGTGTGTGAAAATCTTTTATACATTTTGTCTTTCCATTTCTAAGGCACAACAACTACAGGCATAGATTGTAGGCAAAGTATATTTACATTTCTTAAATCCGTGTTTCCAATTCCAAACTATTCATTCAGATCCTGTTGGTGGTGGCGAAAGGAATCCCTAGACTTGGACATTCCTTGCTTTAAAGTGTAGGGTATTGTATATTTCCCCAATATTTGTGCCTTACTGCTCCTTTGAGAACACAGATTCTCTGCACTGATGCTTCATTTCTTCACTAGCAACCCCCACATCAGATCTTAATGGTCATGGTGCCCACTATACATAAGTCTTTTCTCTAAAAATATCAAATTGTCCAGAACTGATAGCTTTCATGGAAAGTCCATTACTTTGTTACTTCTGGCAGGCACATGTGTTTTCCTTTGGCTGGCCAGGCTAGTGGTGTTTCCAGCAGCGTGGATAACTGGCGACCCCGTGTAGTTCCTTCTCTTAAGCCTGTCAAAGTCTTGTCTGACACAGGTAAACTGGACATGACTGTATAAACATACCAGGGCATTTGGTGACACCTCTAAACTGTGACACCTTGCCAGAAAGTCTCCCTAGCATGTCAGTGAGTGGTTAAAGCTTTCTGGGTCCAGTACAGTGCTTCACCACAAGATAAGATTTCTGCAAGCAGAACTTTGTCTTCAAGGTTTACATTTTGCTTAAAACTTAAGCTCCAAAAACTTCAGGTCAAATTCCATTGCCATTGATTTTCCCCTTGCCATTCAGGGTTGGACAGTCCCCAAGGGTTCCTTCTGGAACCTTGAGCCCATTACTTTCCAGTTGCGTTTCTGCCCTTTTCACTTCTCAGCCGTAAGTGTGTTTATCCTGACTCATATACTACCTTTCCCTTCCAGAACACGTTTAAATAAAATTGTAAATAGGGATCCAAGTTGCTTTTTCATTTCACATTCCACGGAATTGTAT